CAATAAAATTCAACTTTTATGAATTTGTACACCATAACGTTTATGTGGCTTAATTGTGTGAGCACAAGTGTACTTTATAGGGTCTCCGACGCTTTCTTCTGGGTGTTAAAAACTTCGTGACAAAATTTATATACCCTGTTCAGGGTATATAAAATTCATATGAGCGGAGACTTTTTCTGCTCGTTTCTAACGGGAAATATGCAGTTATCTTAGTTTCTATGCCATATATATACAAATTAACAATTTGTAGAATATTCTGCCTCAATATAATTTTAATAATGTTATTTGCGAAAAATTAAAATTATAAAACCATGAGCGAAGTCTTTTTCTGGCTAGTGTATATAAGAATAATTAAAAAATATGTATGTATATATAAAAATTTATAGAAGGACTCAGCTGCCGCACATCTCCACACACAAGATTTCGGCATTCTTCTGTAAACAAAAAGTTATTAAAAACTTCGACATATTTCTAATATATTTATACATCTTACCTTAATCTTACTTTATTTCAGCAACAACGCTTATTTGGTTTTTAATATAAACTTTATTATTAACACTAATATGTATTGTTATTAAAAACTTCGACACATCTTTCTTTTCAAATTCAATTTTCATTTGATGTTTTCCTAAAACGGCTAACGAATTGTCAATTTGTATATTTCAAACGACAAATTACCACCCATGATTGTATCCTAGTGCATGCAAAAATTTAGAAATACTTGAAGCGTCTGTAAGCGATGGCAACTCTGTTGCCCAATAAGTGCCAGATAAAACGAAGCAAGTGGCAGTAACCAAAACGCTCAGTATATACAGTAATAAACCTTTGCCTTGTTTACATACATATACTCAACTCTAGAAAATCTTAGGGTGTTGTGTAACACTTTTTTTGCTACTTTCATGGTAATCGGGGTGTTGTGTTAGCATTTCAGCTACACATAAATTTTAAATTTTGATGATCAACACTTTAAAATATATTAAATAATGCAAGTGTTTACGTTATTTAAGTGATTATATTGAATTACTTTGAAATCTGTTCAATTTTATTGGGATATTACGTGTTATTTAATGTTAAATCAGTTGTTTTTTTTTTTTTT